CTCAGGATTTTGGGCACACACTCACTTGCACCTGGTGTGAGTTTTAAGTCACCAGATCTGGGACTTGAACTGTGGTTGACTACATGGGAGTATAGCAACGTAACCATTATGCCATCTGCTAGTCCGCATATTCTCTTTAGACATTATTAGGCACTGAAGCTCTTGCAGGATAACTTTGATGCTATATGAATTCTGCCACTTTGCTAGCACTGATGTGGCTCTCGGTTCCACCACTTAATTAGAACTATTCCATTCATATTAGTTTTTGTTACAAATTTTACAAAGAGGGGTTGCTTCTGGGTATTTAGGTCCATATTATATTCTAAGGCTATATATTCAATTTTCATAAATTGTTCTAGGAGGCCCAGTAATCATCCCTGTCCATCACATAAGTGTCATGTCTTCGTCATCTTCTAGACCTCAGCTGTCATGCCATCTCCTACTCCTATCTGGCCTTCTTCAAGTTCTTCCAACAGTTGGAAATCGTGAAGTACTTTTACTTCCAAGTCTATGGTGGTTGCCATCTTGCCACCAATTTTTTTTTTTTGATTGAGATGGATAAAAGAAGAACAGATAATAGAGGAATTAGTGTATTCGTAACTCTTAGTTAATAAGAAGGAGAAAATATTATTTGGAACAAGGAGGAAGTAGTAGTGGAACCTTCAGATAAAAAAAAATAAAAAGGAGCTAATGGGACCTGGATGTGTCCTTCACCTTCAAGAACTCTGCCACTGTACTTAGTAAACTCTGATTTTCTGTGTATGAGACTTTATTAGATTGGGTGAAAGGAAGAGAGAATCCTATCTGGAGCAAGAAGGTAGCAGCAAACAGGGAGTGGTGAAATTATCAGCAGAAAAAAATGGAGCTAGTACACTCTGGAAGTGTTCCTTATTCTCTAGAGTTCTATCACTATGTATTGTTCATGCACCCAAACCACACCCACCATCACACTGCAGGGAGCCCTGACTCAGGCCTGCTATTTCTTGACCCTGTAGGTGAGTAGGGAAGATGTCAATCATAGTGAAGTAAGGAGTTGATGAGGGTACTTGAGATCAGGAAATCAAGTGTAAAGTAAATAAACTGTAATTGAAATTGAAATAAATTAAACTGCAAAATGCTTACACTGTGGTTAGGCTCAAATACAAAAAATTATAATTCTTGAGTCATTAAGCTTCTCTAGAGGCCAAAGCTATTCAATGGAAAGATATAAAAAATCACTTCTAGGAAAAAAGTTACATACAACTTTCCAAATAGCTCATTTATATTTAAATCAAGGGTCTGCTAGTTTATAAGTTGCAGACTCATTCGAATCAGAAATTGAAGTTTAGGAAGTCATATTGGTCTGATGATATGTTTGTAACACTTCTCACAACAGTAACCTATGATGGAGTTACCAGAGAAATACGAAATTTACATAAATAAATAAAGTTATGTCAATAAATAACTACAAACATATGTATGTTATTTATACATACATGTATACATACATATATACCTGGACACATGGACCCACATATACACATAAGGATTGGGATTTAAGGAGTTCATAGTCAGAAGGAACTATTGCAATACAGAGCATGTTTGATGATGTTTCTAAAGTGGTCTCCTCAGGTGCCTTTCTATATTTTTGGATTGACTTAGATAAAAGAGGAACATGTCATAAGAAAAATGCTTCCTACTCCTCGTGTGTTCTTTACCTTCAGTAATGACCAACCAAAACTCTCAGAAAATTTTCAGAGTGCCTGTGAATAGAACTTTTCAAGATTTAGGGGAAGGAAGTAGAGAATTTTCTTTGGGGCCAGGAGGAGGTAAAGTAGATAAATTAACAGAGAAATTATGAGGTTAAAACAAAACATAGATCTAATAGATCCTAGACATTTCTTTCACCCTCCAGAGCTCTGCCACCATGTGAGGCTGGTGCCACAAACTGCAATTCATCATACTGCATGGAGCTCCTTAGTCTAGCCTTCAGTAACTTGTCCCTATTGAAGGAGTAGGAAAGACAACCATGGTGAATGAAAGTAAGGATGTGACGGAGGGACTTAGCAAGCAGGAAACTAGATGAGAAAAGAAAAATGGGTACCTACAGACTGAATTTAAAATAAAACCAACTATGGGGGCTAGCAAGTGGTGTGGTGGTTAAGGTGCTGGACTCCCAGATGGCCAGTTTGAGTCCCAGATATGGAGGCTTGCTTTCTCGCTTTCCCTCTATCTCTGTCTGTCTCTGGTGAGCACATGTGCCCGACAACAAACTAAAGTAATAATAATAATAAATAGAGTTAAATAAATAATAATGAAGCCTACTATGAAAGGCTGTTACATATTGAGATTAGGCTCAGTAATATATAGAGGTTCATGTGTCTTAATGCATTAAGGTTTCTTTCACATGCTTAATAATTTCATTTCCACCACATAAAGCCTCATTTCTAGGGAAATAAAATGAAATCCCTTTTCTAAATAAGTTAAAAGTAAATTTTTAGGATTCAACCAATGCATATATTATAAGAAATTATAACTAATTTGAATGAAAAAATAAGTCTATAAATTCATGTGGTGTTCAATTATGTACAATTTAATCTTTTAGCCCTGACCTAGATCAAATGACAGCACTAAACTATGGTGAAGTGACCAATGAAAGGTAAGATGTGAACTTTATTTATATACTAAAAGATTCATATGAACATATATTAAATATAGAGTTCCTGGACACTGTCTCACAATCCTAAAGTATTGGCATTGTCAGCTCCTATATGTAACACTTTCCTTTTTGGATCTAGTTGGATAAAAGAGGAACAAGGTTAGAAGATGCAGCTATATCCTCCTAGCTTAGTGGTCAGAACTCTTTGAAAACTATCTGATTCCCTCTGTATGAGACTCCGGTAGAGTGAGCTTGATTAGTTTGCTGTGCCTAATATAGGAAAGTATCTTAAACTGAGTGGCTTAATTAGCTGAAATGTGTTACTTCATTGTTCTAGGGCTAGAAGTCCAAGACCAAGGTATCCACAGATTGTTCTCTTTTGAGCCAATCAATTCTTCTTCAACAGGAAGAATCTATTGCATGGCTTTCTCCTAGCTTTTGCAGGCTGCTGGCAATCTCTAGTATTCCTTAGTGTGTAGACTTATCACTTAAATCTCTGCCTTAATTTTCACATGACCTTCTTCCTGTGCGTGCACATATGCATGTGTGTGTGTGTATATAATTACCCCTTTTATAAGGAAATGTGTCCAAATTACCCCTTTTTATAAGGAAACCAATAATATTGGATTAGAGGCCCAACCTGTACCACTATGCCTTATTAATTAGTTACAGCTACAAAAACTTTATTTTCAAATAAGGTCACATTCTGAGTTACAGGGATTAGAACCTTGACCATTGAATTTGGGGAACAATACTCAACATATAATAAGGAACAAGTGAGAAATTTTATTTGGAATCAAGGAAGAGTTAACAGTGGACAGGGACCAATGGAGCCCTAAGGAGAAAAGATAAATCTAATATTAGATCCTGCATGTGTCCCTCATTCTCATGGGCTCTGTTTCCAGGTGAGCCTGGTATTCCAAACCTAAACCCACATTATGTTGGATTGAGTCTCTGACTCAGGTCTGCATCCACTTTATCCTATTTGGGGTGCAGAAGAGACAAACATGATGTACAAAAGTAAGCAGGTAATGAAAAGACTTGAAAATTGGGAATTTTGATGGAGTGAGAGTGATATGTATCTACTAATTGACACTGAATTGAAATAAATGCTGTCACTAAAGCTGTCACATACCAGGACTATAGAAATAATAAAAGGACACATTGGTCTTTTTATAGACCTTAGAAATTAATTACTGGAATATAAATTCTCATTTCTAATTTAAAAATGGCTTTCCAGGTTCAAATGGCGAGATACACATTAGTATTGATGTTCAACCAATTCGTGTTTATAGTAACTATAGCTATTTGACCTAAAAACGTAAGTAAAGTTTGCTCGTGACTTACTATATGCTTTTATAATCCTTTAGCTCACACATGAGTGAATTGACAGCAGTAAACTGACAGACACCTTAATGAAAGATGAGTTATAAATAAAGAAAAATAGATAGATATAGATACACATATATATATATTTATAAGTAAACACATAGATGATCACAAGCACACACAATAGAAACACAATTGTATTTTTAAAAGTTCACAGAAAAAAATAGAATTAAAGTGTAAGTTTATTTTGGTGCAAAATTTTTTAAATCCATGCATCATTTTTTTTCATAATAATATATTTTCTGTGAATTTTTTGAAGATCTGCCAACATATCACTGAATGCAGGAGTTTGACATTTGTAACTTTTGGGTAATATAGACTATGTTTTGATATAATATAGATATAGATAATAATATAGGTAATAATATAGGTAATATAGACTATGTTTCTCAATCTTTTCAATATGGCATCTGTAGGTAACTCTATTTTTCTTTTTGATTGAGTTGGAATAAGAGAAGCAGGTTATAGGAGGTATGCTTCTTTCTGCTAGTGTATTTGTCACTCTTAATTTCTAGTAGCCAATGTCTCAGTAAAATATCAGATTTCCTGTGTTTGAGACTCTACCATACCTAACTAGAGAGAAGAGGCTCCTATTTGGAGCAACAAGGAGGTAGCAGTGAATCAATGAAATCTCAACAGAAAAGAACTGAAATAATGGATATATCTCTCACTCTTCAGAACTCTGCCAGCATAGTTTCCAAATCCACAGCGACTATCACATTTAATGAAGCCCTTGCCTCAGGTCTTCAGCTGTTTAACCATATCTCATGGACAGGAAAGACAATCATGTGTGAAAGTAAGAAGGTTATGGAGGGACTCAGGAAGAAGGACATTAAGTAGGACTTGCGGGTTGAGTACCTACAAAATGAAGTTGAATTTAAAATTAATTCCGCCACAAAAGGCTGTTACACGTTGGGTCAAGTTCAGAAATAAAAATTGTATGTAAATCTTGAGCTAACAATTTTTTTTTTTTTGGACAGGTTTTTGCTATAGGACACGTGTGCTCACCAGAAAGAGAGAGACAGAGAGACAGAAAGTGATAAATCACCCCCCAGGGGGGATGGGCACACTGCAATCCCTTCTCCTCCATTCTCCTCTCAGGATCTTGGACATGCACACATACGCACCCAGCATGAGTTTAAGCCACCAGGTCTGGGACTCCAACCTCAGTCGACTACATGGAGTCCAGCAACATAGCCATTATGCTAACCGCTGATCCCGAGCTAACAAAAGTTTTTGACAGATCTAAAATATTTATTACTATTATATCATGATTATTTCTAAAAAAATGACAGATTGGAAAAAACTAATTCATACTTGGATTATTTAAAGGTTAACTAGTTTATAAGTTGAAAAGTAATTATAGCTAGTATGAAAGAAAAAAATAAGTCTAGGATATTACATGGTGTCTTATTGCTTACTTTTTAATCCTATAGCACTGACCTGTATAAAATAAAAACTCTGTCCTTCTCTGGATTGACCAATGCAATGTATGGTATAAATGAATTAACACTAAGATATAAATGCATGTACATGCATGCAAACAAATGCGTAACATATAGAAAAATTGAGATATAGGATATTCACTGTCTGGGGTATAAGCAGAGTTCTGTTGAAGCTATTTCTAAAGACTTTTCATGGTAAGACTCCATATGTAGCATTCTTTCAGATAAGACAATGATATACCACAAGGAGATGAAAAAGCAAGAATAAATCAAATCTAAAATTGGTAGAAGGAAAGAAAGAATGAGATCAGAGCTGAAATAAAATTAAATTGACAACAACAACACAAAAGCAAAAACAAAAGATCAGTGAAACAAAAAGTCTTTTTGCTTACTTTAAGAACATAAATTAAGAAATAAGTAAGGAATTTTTGTTAAATAAGTAGACTTAAAATATTTTTGTGTGGGGTACAGTATGGATTTTTCACAGCATGCATAATGTGCAAGGAAATATATAGTACTAGAATAGCACTATCATATGTCATTCTATTTTTAATATTTTGAGAGCACTACATACTTGTTCCGTAATGCCTATACTAATTTACATTATCATTAACAATGTGTAAGAGTTCCTTTTTCTCCATATCCTCAAAGATATCAAGTGTTGACTTGATAACTTCTGTCATTTTGATAATAGCTATTCTAATAGGAGTAAGGAAATATATTGGCTTTCATTTGAATTCCCATGATGATTGGTGATGTCGAGGGTTTTGTTTGTACCTATGTTCATTAGATATTGCCCTGTAGGGTTTTTTTGTTTGTTTGTTTATTTGTTTGTTTGTTTGTTTTGTATATTTATCTGGTTTGGGTGTCAAGATCTTGCTGGCCTAGTAGAATAACGTTTGGAAATATTCTTTCTCTTCAATTTTTTTTGAGTAGTTTGAGAAGAATTGGCATCAGTTCTATAAATGTTTGGTAGAATTCAATAGTGAACCCATCAGGTCCTGAGCTTTTCTTTGATGGGAGACTATTAATGCTTTGCCTCTCTATTTTTCTTCTAAATGTCCTTCCTCAGACCCTACTATTTTGCACACACTATATCTAGTATTTGCATCCATTTACTGTGTTTCTATATCCTTTAGTCAATCAGTTTTGGTCATAGAGTACAGACACTTGGTATATATTAAGTGGGGACATACAGTGTCTCTCCTTCATAGCCTGGCTTGCTTTACTCAGCAGTAAATCTTCCATATTCTTCCACTTTCTGTCAAAAACTAGAGGTTTTTTGTTTGTTTGTTTGTTTTTATGGCTGAATTATATCCCATAGAGTATATGTGCCACAGTTTTTCTATCCATTCATCTGTTTGTGGGCATTTGGGCTGGTTCTATGACTTAGCAATTGTGAATAGTGCCACAATAAACATCAATGTGCAAGCACTTTTCCAATTAAGAATTCTTCTATCCTTTGTGTAGATACCAGGAGTAGGATTGCAAGATCGTATGGAAGTTCTATTTGGAGACTTTTCAGGAATCTCCAAGTTGTTCTCCACAGTGACTGGACCAATTTACATTCCCACCAGCAGTGTAAGAGAGTCCCCCCCTTTCACCACAACCCTGCCAGCACTTATAATTTTTTGGTTTTTCACTCTTAGTCATTCTGACTGGGGTTACAATTTTGTTAATGTTATGAGTCTGCTAAGATTTTCTGTTTCTTCACAATTCAATCTTGTATGTGTACAGGAATTTATCCAATTCTTCTAAATTATCTAATTTTGGAGAAAGTAATTATTCACAATAATCTTTTATAATCTTTTGCATACCTGGTATCAGTTGTAATGTCTTCTATTTCATCTCTGATTTAATTTATTTGAGTTTTTTTTTAGTCAGTCTAGATAATGTTTTAATTGTTTTTGTTTTTATTTTTTTAGAGAGTTTTTGCTATAGGGCGCATGTGCTCACTGGAGAGACAGAGAGAGACAGAAAATGAGAAATCACCCTCTTGGAGGGATGGTCACACTGCAATCCCTTCTCCATTCTGCTCTCAGGATCTTGGGTAGACATGCACATGTGCCTGGCATGAGTTTCAAGCCTCTGGGTCTGGGACTCAAACCATGGTGTTCTATGTGGGAATCCAGCTATGAAACCACTATGCCATCTTCTAGTCCCAAG